TACCAGGAGTATACCAGGGTATACAGGGACGTGAGTATAGATCAGAATTCCAGACGAGTCAGGACCAGTGGGGTTGAAATTGCAGTAACAGAGGCCCCCCCCCCTGTCAACCCACAATAATGTGAGTTGAACATGTCCCTCCCAGCCCACGCATCTGAACATGAAGGTAGAGACGACATTTCGCTTCGTCGTGGAGCCTTATCAAGTATTAAAGATGAACCTGATGCCGGTCCAGAACGAAGGTCTATACGGAGTCAGCTTCGGCCATCATTATGACTACATGTTTTATATATTGTTAGTGTTTAATGAGAAGATCTGACTAAATTCTTGTATCTGTACTCAAGTTAAATTCCTGTTTTTATTATTATTTTTTTTCCATACTTAAGAACACATCTAATTCTATATATTTTTTAGCAAGAGTTCGTGAAGGATATGAGGAGTGTGAAGACTGTGTCTTGAGGCAATTAATTTTTTTCCCCCCGAGCTCAAGGGCCAATTTTGTTGCCTTTACCTTTACCACTTGTGACTTATTCGTTAAAAAATATATAATATCCTGCTATTATTATTATTATTATTATTATTAGCAGGAATAGCAGGACAATCCTAGTGTCCTGCTATTCCTCTCGACTTCCTTTTAATGACAATCACTCCGTGGTCACAAATACCAAATGCCTTTGCAAAGGCCGCATACACAACATCTATATTCTGATTTGTATATATATTGTTTCGCGATTGTTGTTTAGGTACCGAGTAGTTACGAAGGGTATCTGAACAAGATGCCCTTTCGGAACCACGTACAAGTGAGCTCAAAGGGCTCACTTGAACATTTTTCTCATGGTGTTGGAGACCTAAAAGTTAAAACAAATATCATTGTTGAGTGAATTCGGTCATTTTGATACCTGGTCGGAAGTTATTTAACAGTCAATATGGATGTGAACAATGGTAGACCTTCAAAACGGTGATCTTGGTAAGGTTAATTGTGAATGGAGGAAAGGTTTAAGACGAATCTTTGGGAGACCATCGTCGCACTCATCTCATACCAGGCGTCATTTCCACCTGAAGAAATAATTCACAAATGATATTCTTTCGTCTGAAGGGAGTCCCCCGTCCAGTAAATTCCATCAATTCTTTTTGTTTAGGCACTCACTTGTCACTGGCCACTCTTAACTTTTCCAGAAATTAAACTTAATGGTCAAAAAATATATCTTAAGAGTGAGTGATATATATATACATATATATATATATATATATATATATATATATATATATATATATATATATATATATATAATAGTTGGGAACCACAACAAACTCTCTGGCTCCCCCCCCTACAACCCTCTGGCTCCCCCCTACAACCCTCTGGCTCCCCCCTACAACCCTCTGGCTCCCCTCTACCTCTCACCCCATCAATATGTGGGAAACATGAGGGTGCCATCATCTTCGTAGTGGCATCATGAATACCAATTCTCGGTAATTAGGATAACAATACCAATACATATTAATGTCCACACTGCAAATATATATATATATATATATATATATATATATATATATATATATATATATATATATATGTTGTACCTAGTAGCCAGAATGCAATACTCGGCCTACTATGCAAGGCCCAATTTGCCTAATAAGCCAAGTTTTCCTGAATTTATAAATTTTCCTATTTTTTTCTTATGAAATGATAAAGCTATTCATTTCACTATGTATGAGTTAATTTTTTTGTTTAAATTGAGTTAAAACTAATGTAGATATATGATCGAACCTAACCAACCCTACCTAACCTATCTTAACCTAACCTAAACTAACATGACGAAGTCAATAATTTATATTCTTAATATAATAATAATATTTCAAATAAACCAATTGGATTTTTTGTTTAAATAAAGAAAATCACTACGATCCGATCGTAGTGATTGCAATACGATCCACCATACGATCGATCTGGTGGGAGAACAGAGGCGTACCGTTAAGGATTGGCGCCTAGTCAATCCTCCCCAGCTAGGATACGAACCCAAGCCAAATCGATCGTGAAGTGCTGGACAAGTGCCTCACCACTGCGCCACAGGGACTGTTTATATTATATTTATACTAAATATAAAAGGACAAGTCATAATATTGCGGGTAATAACATTTAATTCACTTGGATTATCGCGGAATCGAACTCGGACGCGAAAAACACGAGACCGTCACTCTAGCAACTAAAGAAGGATATCGGGGTGGATTGCAAGCAGATACCAGAGTCGTGGTCCAGAGAAAACTGAAAGTTTCAATATAGTATAAGTCAAGTTCTACTGAAACCCTGATTGACAGTATGCTGATCTAGTTGATAGAGCAATCCCCGACGTTGGTTGGACTCGCATTATATCCCTTCCACGCCTGAGTTCAAGACCTCGACGATTTGTGTGTACGTCTGATACCATACTACTTGTGAAGGAGGAAATGTATATGTTTATCTCTCAGAATGTTTGGTAATATGTTTATTGTTTGTGATGTGTGTCTATGTATGTATTAACACGATGTACTGAACGGGGTGAGAATAGCTTGAGCTACCTTATCCCTTTGTGTGTATTTTACATCAATAAACTTATTTCAATTTCAATTTCGACGATCTAAAGACGAGAGAGAGATCCCACAAACATTCAAATCAAAATTATTTGTGACACTGATCACACTAAAGAAACAACACTAGCATAAACAATGCTAACTCAACACAAATTAAAATAATATAAAATTACTGCTAATAATGGCAGCTGTCACGAAGAATGGCCTTAATTACAATAATGGCGCCATGCCCCCCCCCCCCCCCCCCACCCAGCACCGATAGAGCGGGCAGCACAGCAGCAAGCGCACGCGCGTGCGCCCCCCCTAACAGCAATAATATCCACAAAGCAAAACAAAACTATTACCATAACAATATTTACAAGACGAGGCCGCACCCGGCCGCCGCTCCTCCTCCTCCTCCCCCACCCGAAGGAAAATAAGACTTACATCTAGGGTGACTTAAAATTCATTAAATGGGTTAAAACCCCGCGGGGTATATGATCGGCCAATCTCACTTCTCACGGGCGCAGCTGTTTGCTCGCTGGGAATAGCGTGCTTCTGGGGCACAATAAAACCCCCGCGAGTGCGAGAACAGCGAGACGCGAGAAAACAAAAGTGGGCGGTGATCATACGTAACCCGCCTCGGCTCATGTCCCTAGCATCAGCGTCTAATTTTCCTCCCCCCTTCCGTACCCCCACACACGCGAAATACTCTCAAGGTGTCGGGAATTTTGGGCCTTGGGTCGTACTTAATTAGGGTTCATTTCTGCGGGAGGGTCTTGCGCGACGCCCTAGGGGGGGGGGAGGTGGGGGGAGATGGGAGGGGTGTTGTGGCTCCGGCTCTTTTCCAGCTTCTCACATATTCTCTCTGGCCTCGGCTATTGTTTTAGTTTGTGTGTGTGTGTGTGTGTGTGTGTGTGTGTGTGTGTGTGTGTGTGTGTGTGTGTGTGTGTGTGTGTGTGTCTGTGTGTGTATCTGTGTAATAATACCCACAGCACATACATATATATATGCATATTTTGCCGACTATACTATACATACACGCAATATTTTTTAAATTGCGTGTATGTATATGTATAGTATTAATTTTTTAATTAAAAATATATATATTTATTTATTTTTTATACACACACACACACACACACACACACACACACACACACACACACAATGGGAGCCATGTCTGACTCCTACATCAACATCACAGGCCCGAGACTGTTCAACACCCTTTCACCGCACATAACTGGCCGACCCCTCGCAGTGTTCAAGAGAAAACTGGATAAACACCTCCAAAGGATACCTGATCAACCAGGCTGTGATTCATACCGTATTGATGCTGACAGAAGGCAAATGTGGCACCAATTTACAAAAAAAGGATATGGAGAGTAGCACGTAACTAGAAACCAGTATTACAATATTACCAGTAATATAGTAAAGTATCCCCCCTTAACAATATTTAACAGAATAATAGGGTTAAAGCTACTTATACATCTATAGAGAATTAGGTATGTAAACAAACATCAAATAATGGTTTTAGGGAAGGGGAATAATGCCTGACGAACTAGAGAGAGAGAGAGAGAGAGAGAGAGAGAGAGAGAGAGAGAGAGAGAGAGAGAGAGAGAGAGAGAGAGAGAGAGAGAGAGAGAGAGAGAGAGAGAGAGAGAATACAATAATTAGGGTTAACTGACAGAGTGGAAACGCAGGAAATGTTCACTATGAATACCAATGAAACAAGAGAGCATGGATGGCTGCTTGAGGTTCTGATGTCTCTTAAGAGAGGTTAAAAAGTTAAGTCTTTTAGCGTAAGAATAATGGACAGATGGAATGAACTAAGGGCTACTGGAAGCAAACTCCATTCATAACTATAAAAGCAGATATGATAGGCCAGGAGTCATTGCATTAGACAACCGGTGACTAGAAGGCGGGGTCAAGAGCTAAGGCTCGATCCTGCACACACAAATAAGTGAGTACAGATAGGTAAACACACAAAACACACACACGCACGCACACACACACACGCACTCAGGCACGCAGGCACGCAGGCACACACACACACACACACACACACACACACACACACACACACACACACACACACACACACACACACACACACACACACACACACACACACGCACGCACGCACACCAAGCTACAGAGACAACACCCCACAATTTATAAATACCTTAAGCTCCATAATTACAGGACGCACAGGCACGACATAGTTTTATTTCTCAGGAGGAGGATGAGGAAGACGAGGAGGAGGATGAGGCTAAGGAAGTGGAGAAGTAGCAGGAAGATGCCACGGAAGAGAATGAGCAGAAGTCGAAAGAGAAGGAGGATTAGATGGAGTCTTAGGGAGTGGAGGAAAACCAAGGAGCTAAGTAAGAGGAGGAGGAGGAGGAGGAGGAGGAGGAGGAGGAGGAGGAGGAGGAGGAGGAGGAGGAGGAGGG